CAGCCAGAGGCCCGTAATTTGCTAGAGTTTACTGTGCTGCAATGTCGGAGCCCTTGAGGTGGAAGCATTGCAAGATCCTGAATGGTTCTGAACGCAATCTTGACACAGGCCAGGAAAGATGTTTTCGATTTCTTTGCTCGCCGCTTGCACGCAGGCATTCGCGCAGCCTCCATCGTATGGTTTCTGTGTCGTATTCCTCACACGGAGATTCTTGCGGCCGCGTGACAACAAATAGTACTCCGGGAGGGAGGGCTTTGGGGAGGTCCTGTCACGAAAATTTTTGCCCAGGATGGCCAGATCACGTATGCTCGAGTTCAACGCAGATTGCTTCACGTGCTTAGCCAAGCCCTGGAACATCATTCCCAGAAGGTTTCCACGGCAAGCCTGCCGGTGCCTTCAATGCAAGACGACTTCCATCCTGCCAAAAAGTGCCTTGGTTATTGATGACGTTTCTGCAGTCTAGCTGGGCCTACTTCCTGGCACGCATGTGCTGCTAGTGCAGGGATGGCCGTGCTTTGGCTATGGAGTCCAAGCCCAAGAACGTGCTGGCCATAAGCCGGTTTCTGTCTCGTGGAGGCGGATTTTGCAGCCACGGCAAAGAAAGTTCTTTGTCCGAGATGGGTCTTGCTGACTTTGTGCCAAAGCATCACAACAGGAGTGCAGTGCTAATCCTCACGCCACGTAGATTCAACATCCTAAACCCTGTACCCTAAGCTCTTAATCCTGAAGCCGACACTGCATGAAGAGGACGGCTTGTGATTTCGTTGCGCGGTACCTGGTCAAAGCCAGTGAGGTACTGAAGAAGGCGCTTTTTTCACTGGTGTACATTTTGAATGTGTCGGTTTTGGAATCAGGATCTCAATGCTCTGCGGTTCCCATACGTATCTGTGATGTCGGATGCTTCGCCAAAGGCGAAACTGGACGCACCTTGTCCTTTTACATTGGTTGAACTTAGTATTTTCGCAGTGCGTTCCCCAACCATGATGTAAGGTGTGGATGGCTATCGTGTCCATCGGGGCCAAGGCTTCTCTGGGTACTCTTCAGAGGCTCTCCCAGTTGCTGCCATCTTCGGCAAGCCCAGACCAGAAGCTAGAAGCAGCTGCGCTGGCTGCAGACAGCTTGACGCAAGGGATTGTCGCTGATACAAAGAAGGGCGATCAGAAGAAGAAATTGCAGCTCGCATGAATCTTGTGGAATACTAGGGTCAGTAACGCAAATTCTGTCGAACATGCTTCCAGGCCGAAGNNCGAAGCAGGAGCTGAAAGCTGTGCGGCACGTACTTGAGGTGGCTGGCATAGAGCTGGATGACATATTTCCAGCCCGTCCTCTACGACCTGTTGATCCTGCAAAAGAGCAACGGCTCTTCCACACACTGGACGGGAAAAGGATGGCCTACATTGCCAGCAAAGAGGACAACACGGCACGCTGGGACACAATTGGGCCGTCGAAGCACCTGAGGCTTGTGTTGTCGCCTGATGAGGGAGGCCCCTTGTTTTGCGGATTTCAATGGTTGGCCTACCACAACGGGTGCGTGGCCTTGAACCGTGATCCTCTGTTTCTTGTCTGGAATTTATCTGAAATCACGAGTGTTAGCTAGCGGACTCTGCACGAGGCACAAGCTGCACGCGTTCTGTGGACGGGTGCTGTCATGCAGTCCCATGGTGAAGCGCAGCCTGTCTTCGGTGGAGTCTTCCCTTTGTCTTTTTCTGTTTAAGCCCCACCCAACCATGCAAGGCTGCACAACGCTGTGCGGTTGGCTGTTCCGGGCGAAGAAAGCCCCTTGGGGAACACATGGTGTCGCAAACCGCCTTGTGGAAGCAGGGTTGCGGTATTTGGAAGTAGCATCTTGGATTGAACTCATAATTTCAAGTAGTGAAGCTGTTTCATGAACATTTTCCTGCAGGCATCTGCCAAGGACGTGCTCATGGAGCTGTTCGCGAAGGACATTCTGAGGGAGCAGCTTGTCTTTAGCTATTTCGAAGTGCTGAAGTAGAAGCATTTCTTGCTTGTGATCCAAGAAACAACGTGCCCTGCGGACCTGACGAAGAGACAAATTTTGAAAAAGTCATGGAGATTCTGGGCAAGGTGTGCAAGCCACTCGCCTGCATGAGCTTTTAGCTGGCTTTCTTGATTATTCTCGACTGAGGCTAGGCGGAGGAGATTTTGATTGGAAGCGATGGTGCGGATACGCGCACCAAGCGCACAAGTTCCAGTTCTCGGCATCCCTGCTGCTGATGCTGTGGTCGGCAATGGAGGTTTCCGTATGCCAGCCATGACTGCGCTTGAGGATTTTGTGTACCATGTTTTCAGTTTTGCATGGCCATCAGGTTGGGAAAAATCCTTTCCAGATTTTGGAAGGCAAGACGCAGGAAGAATCCTACGACAAGATTGTTGACAGCTGCGTGAAAGTTGCTTGCCTGGCTATCCTGTGATTTGAGTAGGGCATATTTTTCTTGTTCTAAGGCTCTGATGGATGAGCAGGTGTACAGCCTGTTCCTGACCTCCCGAAAGATCCTTGAACCGTTCCGTAAACTGTGCCTGGAGCTGGCAACTTGACTGAAAGGCGTACGTGTTCATGTTGATTCCCAACATCCATTGCCCGGACAACTAAGCAACGCGAATCAAATCAACTCGTGGCCTTGCACAAGCACACGATGGATGTGAACAAGGGTTCTCTGGAGACGATGCTGTTAGAAGTGATGGCCACATCCTTGTACTTTGAGAACGGCCGCAGCACTGCAGATGTCACGGATAGTGCTGGCAACCAGGACGGGCCTGTAGAGTGCTGCTGGCAAACTTTGCTCACGAAGACGTTCGAGTATCACAATTCACGTAGTGGGGCGTAAGTTCACGTAGCAGGGTTTAGGGCCACGCATTCAGTGTCAATAAGGTTGAGGTCGTAGTCGCACATAGGTTCCCGTGTTTAACCATACACTGGGGATGACCTTCATCCCAGACTCCTTTTAAGAGACCTGCATTTTCGTAATATTTTAGATTAGACTAGACTGGGTTGTATAAGGCATCTGCAGTATGAACATTTCCTGTTTGTTGAAGAATAATATTTTTGCAAGAGTTTACTATTTCTAGGGTTAAGTGAACAAATGTTATGAACGGAATAGTGGCCAAACACAATAAGTTCTCCTCCTGGAAGGACCTGCAAGTGACGTTCAGACGGAGCGCAACCTTACAGGAAGTGCTACAAGAGTCCCTGAACATGCTCCTTGCATGCGTTCACGAGCTCCGGGAGTATGGACTCTACCTACGGTCCATGCCGGCAAAAGCAGCCTGCTTGGTGGTTGCAGGGGAGGACGAGGCCAAGCAGCAAATTGTTAACGAGATCCGTGATGAATGGGGCCTGATCTTGCATATGGAAAATGATGCTGCCAGCTCCAAAGCCCTTCACGGAAACTGCCGGCATGTCTTGCACCAGCAGCTGCGAGAGATCTGCACCGTGCTGGAAAAGAATGAGTGGGCTTTAGAGCCTGAGTGTGTGGACCTGGCAACTGCTTGGTTCCCACCCTTTGCCTGTTCCGCCAATCTTGAGTGCATCTTTGCAGAAATGCAAAGTGCAATCAAGACGGCCAACAAGCAAGAAGGAGGGAGCATGGCAAGTCTGATGGCAGTGGCCATTAGATCCTTGAGTCGCAGAGTGTGTGTAGACGAGCACGCACCAACCCCACTGCAATTGGAGGATGCCGACTGGGAAGGAAAAGTTGCAGAGGGCCTGAAAAGCAAACTGTGGTGCCCTGGGACAGCCTCACCCTGCAGTCTGACTAACCTATCTTAGTTCATTCCCATACATCAATGTGTGCTGTTCCCAACATTACTCCAAACCAAGGCCAGAAAGTGAATCTGGAAGACATCATCAAGCCCTTCCCATCCACCAGTGCGTGGTTTGCTTCTCACCACAGCCTGAATTACATGAAGGCCTTCACAATGGCGCACAAGCAGCTTACATGAATAATCGAACCAGTTCCTTTTTTTTTTTAAGAAGCATTAAGGCAGGGACTGGACCCTTGCGACGAAAGCCAGCACTTCTGGACAAGCGCCTGCTTGTCTTCTGGAATGCTGGTCAAAAGCAAAGATTCTTTCTACCTCTGCACTGGACGAACTCCATGCCTGGCGAAGGCGTGGTAGTCCTTAAGTTAATACTCATAAGCAGTAAACCTTGAGCCTTGTAGCTCACAAGATTTTCACTACTTGTTCAGGCGCTGAAGATGAAAGAACTTTCGTTCTCTTTCAAAGGGTCTTTGCCGGCCTGCGGCGTGAATGAGACCTCCATTCCCGTACGATCTTTGACAAAGACTGTCATGGACGACCCCCTGCACGAGAATGAGGAGACTATGGCATTAGTGCCCGATGTTGGGGAGCTGCTGGGCTGTAGTGTGTCATCAGTGTATGAAAGAACATGTAATTCCTAAGGCATCTTTTTGTCGAGTTTCTTCCAAAGTTTGGAGAGGCCTGGTCTTTTTGGTTGTTTCAGACATGTCAGTTGAACCTACATGACATTCTGGTGCAGGTTGAAGTGTTTCGCTACACCACACACCTGGCAGTGCCGTCCTTGGCCAAAAAAATACGCTGCCATTTCATGTTGAGGAGAGCGAAGCAACCGACAACTTTGCTATGCTACCTGGCAGACAGCCACTGCATACTTTCGTTGACGGTGACCACGCTTGACGAAATCCTTGCTACTTACAATGTTCGAATGCCAAAGACGACGACAAAGAGTGCTCGACTTCGCAAAATCTTGACGTTGGATGAGATTGCACAGGGGTGCAATGAAAACAACATCCAAGAACTCATGAAGAAGATCCAGGAACGTGAAGAGTCTCTGGCAAAGAAAAAGGAAAAACAAACCCATGAAGATGAAGAGGCACACAAGCATTCAGCATAACATGTAACAACTTGGAATATGAAATTTGTCATTTTCGTCAGGAGCACGAATGGCCTCAGCTGGACGAGGATCCAGCCACTCGTGCGTGCAAACAGCTGCTGGAAAGACAGGACTTTCCACGGATGTGCCTGTCGTTATAAAAATCAAAGATTTCCATGATGAATTTGAGAAATGAAAGGACGAGGATGACAATGAGGAGCCTGATTCTGTTCCGATGCCTACGGAAGCCTCAGCTTCGGAGCCAAGGAATACAGATGTTCCTCAGGATGAACGGTCAACAAGGAAGATGCTGAGCACATCAGCAACCGTCCCGGGATGGTTGTTGGAGCATTTCGATATCCCCGAAAATTGCTCGGTACATCGCACTGTTCATAAGGATTCTACCTTGCCCCATGTACAGGGAAAGTTGCTTGGAGGCAGATTCTTTGAGGGCAAGCATCTTGGCTGTTCCAGGTTGTCTGTTGCAGTTTGCCTTCTAAAGCCTAGCTCGCAATAACCTCTCGCACCTACTAGCAGCATCTAAGGCAAAGCTCCAGTGCATCTTTCAATCCTGATCTTCCCAGAGATCAGCTTGACGAAAATGTACAAACACTTAAAGGGATGCCTGCGAGCAAAAGATCAGAACTGCAGGCATTTTACATAGTCATTTGTTGGCTGAGACGCGCAGCAGAGCGGCCGTCCAAGAAACAAAGAGTTTCCTGAGAAAATCAGCTGCTCAATGAACCTTAGGAACTGCTCACAATTTAAGCCTTCGGATTCACAGGTGATTTTCAGTTCGTCCAGCTCACTGCCCAATGGGCGAGTGGCATGCAGCCGTTGACTGCAACAGCGGAAACAGATGCAACCCATGTATACCCTCTAAAGATCAGACATTTGAGCAAGCACCCTATTATGTTGCAAGGAGGCAAGTTGAGCAAGCATGGCTTCTGAAAGCCTTGA